AAAAAAATTTTTTTTTTTGAAATGGTATAGCGTTGGACTAGAAGACCTCCAAGGTCCCTTCCAAATTGGTTATTCTGTTATTCAATACTGAATAGAACAAATATTCAGTTAAGGTATTTAAAAATTAAATGTAGAAAGATTGGCTATAGTGATTGATGTTAGGGGTGCATTGATTGGGGACATGAATATGGAAGTCAGTTTGTATGGTGCTGTGCTACTAGCCAAGAAACTGAACGATTTATAGTAAACACTAGATTGACTTCAGATACAGCAAGGGACACTCTTCTGAAAATTAATGCATCAAAGACTAACATTTGACAAACATTTGTTTGTCAGGAAAAATATATGAATGAAAAATAAATGGTTTAAACTAAATTAAGTAATTTAAGAATAAGTTGTAATCTACCGATATTTTATTATACAGGTTAATGTATTTCTATCAATAAAATTACCTACAAATGCAATAATGGATTAAAATTGCTATAAACTAGTACAGACACATTAAAACAATAAAGTACATACAATAATATAACAGACCATAAGTCTTTGCAACACAGTCTTTAGATATAAATGTCTTGGGGAATAGCAATGGTTTTAAGTAGTGAGGAAATTTATGTATGGGTAGTTGATTTACACATGAAACTCAAAATCTTTTAGAACTATCATCCAATGCAAAGATACAAAAATAAGAATAATATAGGGATATGCATAAGCATAAGAAGATTTAGAGATATATACAATACAGTGCCATTCTTGTCACCATTACTTCCCCTAGTCAATGCACCCCTGATTCAATCAGGAGGATTTCATCCTCCTCCAAGCATGTGTGCTTTTTGGACAGTTGTAGCAGTTATGATTGGAGTATACAAATCCAGAAAATAATTATCCAGCGCACATAACTCAGAATTTTAAAACTTTGCTTCTTAATATAAATAAATCACCCTAACATTAATGGCAAGCAATGAGTTTAAACCGGGCCAAAGTGTCCATATAACAATGCATTTTAGGCAAACCCAGTGTAATTTCTAAATTTAAACCATTTTTTAAAATAAATACTTGCAGAAACTGATATACAAATAACATATTCAAATATACTTGCAGACTAACTTGGAGGGATATAGCTGCGGTGAGTATTGATGTGATGATCTTGGACTGTAGCCACTACTTGTTATCACTGTAAAAGAAAGCATTTACAATGTTCAATTTATCAGCTATTGAGATTTTTTAAAAAGGCTTACATTTTTTGAATGTTTTAAATAAAATTGGTACCATTGTGTTATTCTTCTCAATTTTTACCTGGAAAAAATAACTAATCTATACAATGTCTAACTTTTTATGATCTTTAGTTTAGCAGATGCATTTAAGCAGAACAGATTTTCATAAATATACAAATCAATACTTTTCAAATACTATTCCTGGCCTGCCATGCCATATTCTGCTCCCGTTTGGATTATTGAAATGTCTTGTACATGGGGTTGCTCTTGAAAGTCACACATCTGCAAAATATCTGGCATGTACAGCTGAGGTGTCCTGAAGTTCACCTGAATAACAACACTGTTGGGTTCCATTTGCTTCCTGGGTACAATTCAAGGTGTTAGTTGTTATCTTTTAAACTCTGTATAGCATATTGCCAGGTAACAGGTTACTTGTGGGCCCATCTGTTCTTCTGTCCCATCCTAATGGATTAATAATGAGACCTTGGATGTCCTGATGACATCCTAGTCCTTTCAAACATCCTTCTTCTGGTATAAAATAGAATAATAGAGTTGGAAGGGACCTTGAAGGTCGTCTAGTCCAACCCTCTGCTTAGGCAGGAAACCCTACACTACTTCAGACAAATGGATATCTTCTTAAAAACTTCCAGTGTTGGAGCATTCACAACTTCTGAAGGCAAATTGTTCCACTGGATTAATTGCTATAAATGTCAGGAAATTTCTCTTCAGTTCTAAGTTGCTTTTCTTCTTAATTAATTTTCACCCATTGCTTCTTGTCCTACTGTCAGGTGCTTTGGAGAATAGCTTCACTCCCTCGTCTTTGTGGCAACCCCTGAGATATTGAAATACTGCTATCATGTCTATCTTCTTCCTAAGGTTAAAGGGATCCTTCCTCTCTTAGCCTACCAGAGGACTATGAAGACCTGTCTCTTTTGCCAAGCATTAGCCTGGGATGGGGTTAAACTATGAGGATGATAGATCTGGTACCCGAGGCAAAAGGATACTTTTGTTTTTTTTTTGTTTTTTACTATGCATTTTATGGATTGTTATGAGATGCTTAGAGTCATGCATTTTATGGATTGTTATGAGATGCTTAGAGTCATTCTATAAGATAGGCAGCAATATCAGTCCTATAAATAAATAAACTTTATCATATTATGCTGTGCTAAGATTACCAATGAAAAGCTTGAATAGAAGATATTTATGGAAATAAATATTAACTAAAATCTGGAAGAAAAATCAATTACTTATGTTTTATGGAATATAATTTTTGTGCAGTTATTTGCCATGCTGATGAATAATTTATAAGTAATATTTTACAACTTAGATTTGTTTTATTAGAAAGCTTTTTTATTCAAACAAGTTGTATATTCAATTTTCACCTCTCCTTAGTTATTGGAGACTTCTACCTTAAAAGTTACTATTTTGTTTCAGAGAATTAACATGAACTGGAGAATAACAATAGGATGAAAACCGTATGGGAGTAAGAGTCAGCAAAATCCACTGTTTACTACGGACTCCAGATTTAAGAGGTGTGGGAACAGCAAATGCGCAACCACCATACAAAACATCATGTTGTATATGTGTACATCAACTATGCCAGCAGGTTTTTCCCCATCCTCTCCAGATGTGTGGATTATACAGGTGGGGAAACAACTGTTATCCAGTTACTCTAGTGTAAGGTTTGGTGGACATAGCATTCCTGACTTCTACGTTCAATTATTCATATGATGCCATGCAGGATGAATTCATTAATGTTAACAGAGAAACTTGCTCATAAAACAGCATAATATGCATTATGGGATGTAAGCATAATGCTCTTCATTTGTAGTAATGAGTTCAGTAAATATGTGATTTCTGTTACATGCGTTTTCAACTTTTTAAAACTGATTTTTGCAGGGATAAAATAGTGGGGCCACAAAATGGAATTGCTTAAGTTTACACAAGTGACTTTATATTAGTCCAATACAATTTTAACAATTGGTTCACACTGAACTCAGATTCAAAAGCTCTTGTGCTGCATGGCATAGCACTATATGTTTCAAAGAAAACTAGTTTAAAATAAAGAAAATGAAGCATGGGTATCTACAAGCCCATGTTACTGAAATCAAAATTATAAAATCAATTTGGGATCATAGACACTGCTCATTTTGGATCTGTAGCAATTCTTTTTATCATTGGCCAGTTTGACATATCTTATTCCCCTGCTAATACTGTTGAAAGGATTCATGAAAATATTTTCACATTTCTTTGGATTTTTATTAACAGTGCTGTTCTTAGTCTTGGCTAGGGCAATGGATTCTGGCTTATGTTGACAGTATTTATCTTATTATTTCCACATATAAAAATATAATGTTTATGAGGTGAGAGTCAAAGCGGTACTAATTTTTCTTTAGAAAGTAATACATTCATTTAATTTTATACCGAAAACGCACCAGTATGGTAACTATCAGTTGCATACATGCCCACACAAAGAGCAGCTGTATTTTTCTGCAGAAGCTTAAATGATGATAATCATATTCTATTAAAATCGTTCAAGAATATTGCGTAGTCTGGACCGATTCCAAAAGTTTCTCTTTCGTCTAACCATCTGTCTTGGCTACGGCAAATGTGTTCCAAATATATATACCAAAATGTGAATGAAACCTTTCAGAGCCATTTCATATCAGCCCTCTAACATAGAATGTCTTTATTAAGCCATCTGCATTTCATTCACTTTTAAAAAGATAAAAGCACTGCATAAAAGGTAGCCCTGAAAAATCCCGTAGTCTAATCAATCATACTTTTACTTCAAAGTAGTTTCCTGTTTTCAATATGCCAGTCTTTAGCATTTTACAGATAGGTAGCAGTTCCTAATCATTTTGCAAAACACACTTTAGGCAGGAACCAAAGAATCATGGAGTAAGTGTCATGTACTTAAGACCTTTAGTTTCTGGAGCAAAATTCTCTGAATATCACATTTATTTATTTAACCATAATTAAGCTTCTTCCACTTCAGCTTCATGGCATTTCAAGAAACACTGTTAATTTCAAAAGCACTATATGATAAGATATGAATGGGCTGACAATGAAAGAAAATCAAAACTTTCGCTGGGTATATTGACAATTTTTGTCTCCCTCTTTACAAAGCATCTAAATATCTGTTTAATATATGACTTTAAAATAAACTCTATATATTGTAGACTTTAAATGCTCCTTTTAAAGTTTTTTCAAATGGCTTTTGAAGCCAGAAGAATGATCTATAAGGTTTTGTAAGTAGTAGAAAAAGTTATGTTATTACGTTACAGTATACAATTCTAAGTTTTGTGAAAAGTATGAACTTAAGATGATGGCCACTTACAAAAATTTTAGAACCTAATTAATCTGAGAACAGAGTATAATAAATGTATTATAACTACATACAGCAAAGTCAACTTCCCATATTATCCCGAAACTATTTTTGCATTTCTTTATATTTTAAAGTTTAGAATATTTCTTAGATGAATGAAGTTCTTTTTATGAATTTAAGCCAGAAATTCTTCTGCTTCCTTCTTATCTGAGTGACATTTGCAACTTTCAATAATAATAATTTAATACATAAATTATTATTAAATGATTTTAAATTAAATTCTACTGTTTCATATTTATTTCCACAATATTTCATAATATTTCATATTGTACAAAGGTAGGGCATAGAAACTGATTTTAGTGTTGTATCTGTGAGATAATACCGTATTTTTCAGAGTATAAAACGCACCGGAGTAGAAGACGTACCAAGGTTTTGAAGAGGCAATTTTTTAAAAGTAAATAGGTAGATAGAGGGATAGAGAGGGAGAGAAAGAGAGAGAAATANTATCTCCGCCCTCATCAGTTGTAGCTTGTGGGCGGATGTGGGGATAGGGCAACGGAGGAAGGTTCTCGGGGGGAAAGATAGGAACTCCAGGGTCAGCCCGTGGCGGACCGTGTTCCTGACCCAGCTGTCCATCGTGGTTTCCTCCCATTGTGTGGCACAGAGCTGGAGACGGCCGCATATGGGAGGAACCCTGTGACGGTCACTTGGACTTTTTAAAGGGCTTGTTGGAATAGCCTCCTCGGAAGGGTTTGCAGAAACCCTGCTGCTTCCCTCTGTCCCTAAAGGAGGGCCTATCCTGGGAGCGATCCTGCGAGGCGCCGTAGGCACAACTGGGACCGGCTGTGGAGGTGGAAGGTTCGTTATTCCGAAAGGAATTCTTGCGAAAGGGCTGACCCTTCCGCTCATGTTTCTTAGTGACCGGAGGGAGCACCTTTCGCTTATCCTTGTTCTCAGTTAGAAATGGATCTATGGCCTCGCCGAACAGCTTACCCCCTTTAAAGGGGGTGGAAGCCACCTTCCATTTTGCTTTTACGTCGGCCTGCCAGTGGCGGAGCCACAGCAGGCGCCTCGAGGTGACATTTGAGGCCAGCGCCCTGGATGAAAATTTAGTGGCTGCCAGGGACACGTCAGCAGAGTATTCAATGGCAGCAATGATCTTGGTGATGTCCTGTCTAGTCCTGGAGTTGCCTGCCGGAAGACCAGCCCATAGTTTGCGGAGCCAGAAGAGGGCTGCCCTGCCAAAATAAGAGGAGCTGGTGGAAGTGCGCATGGCCCAGGCAGTGGTCTGGTGCGTCTTAAGAGCCGCGGATTCCGCCCTCTTGTGATTCCGGCACAAGGTCCAAGGGCGGAGGCACCTCATTAAAAAGGCCTGCACCGGGGTCCTGGGGACCTATGACTACAGCCATGACCAGGTCGGATATAGGTTTGGCTGCGGGGGCTGGGAGACCCATTTGGGGACCTGCAGCCCTGGCTTTAGTAAGAAGGGGCCTAAATATGGCTGGATTAAATAGAGATGAGCCCGTGGCCTGTTCAGGGGCTGGGGTCTCATCGTCGGAGAGACCCGGAGCCTCTGACTCGGCCTCCTCCTGATCTGACACCTCACTAAGCCCCGTTGGGGTGGGGGAGGGTGCCCTGGCTTCAGAGGCCTTGGGGGCCTTGGCCTGGCTGGCAGTTGGCTTGGGAGCCACAGAGGGCAACTGGTTCACTAACTGCACCATGCCATCGGTGATGCCTTTGGAAATGGCACGAGCCACTACCTCCTCCATGGCCCTAGATAGAATTGTATTGTATTGTATTGTATTTTATTATTTGTATGCCGCCCTTCTCCGGGAGGACTCACAGCGGCGAACAATTCAAGGGGGAAAAAAGGGGGAACATAAAAGACAAAATACAAGTAGTAAAAGTAGACAACAGTCGCACAACCATACATGTCGAGAGGGGAGGGAACTCATCACCCCCAGGCCTGCCGGCAAAGCCAGGTTTTNGGGGGCGCAAACATACTCATTTCTGCCCTACCGAGCCCCCAGGAGCTCTCTGAAAGCCTCCATAAGGGTATACATGGCCATTTTGGTGAAGGGGCGGGGCTTCAGGAGGCAAAAATGCTGTATTCAGTGTGTAAGACACACCCAGATTTTCAGCTTCTTTTTTTGAGGAAGAAAGGTCCGTCTTATACTTCGAAAAATACAGTAATTGTGGAAAGGTGTCCATAGGCCAAATTACACTTCCCCTAAATTCTTCTGTCATTACTGTTACTGTCATTCATTATATCTAAATTTTAGTAGCAGAAAATCTTGTCATCAGATATATATTGTATTGATAGGCAATTTCTTGAGCAAGGTAATAAGAATGGTACAAACTAACTGCCAGCACATTTTCCCATACATTAGATGATTTACTGTTTATTTTTGTAAAGAATAGTTTGAAAAACTATAGATATAGATCTACATGCAGTATTATGAGCAAATTATGTGTTTTACCTGACCCAGTAAAATTGTCAAGAGATCCATCTCCACTTGTTGTTGTTGTTGAGTCATTACTGTTCATAGGCTCTGTTTTGACTGCAAGGAGAGACACTGTATAGAAGAATGAGCAGATGTGAGATTGGGTTTCTATATTTACATATATCATGCCAACTAAAGCAAAATGTAAGTAAATTTGAGATGTCAAATGATACACACAGTGAAAAAAATTAGTAAGATTCTTAGAATAACCTTCAGCCATAGAACCATAGTTTTAAAACTATGCACTATTTTTTAAAATTAAAAATACTAACATTTATTCATTTAAACTGAATATTATTTGATTTTGATCAATGGAGACAGCTAGAAGTATTTACATTACATTTCTCAAATATTCATCTAACAAAAAGAGACACGTGGCTTTCAAGACTATTCCCCTCCCCACTTTTCACTTTCAGCTTCTTGATTCCACCTCCTTTTTATTTCTAAAATTTGTTCTTCCAGAGTGATCTATGTCTTAGAGCAGCGATTTTAAACCTTCATGCTGACTGAAGAATTCTGGGAGTTGAAGTCCTCAAGTCTTAAATTTCCCAAGTTTGGAGACCCTTGTCTTAGAGTAAAAGATAATAGACTAAAATAACTCTAGCCCCAAAGTCTCCACGTAGAACATAATATGCATATGGTGTTTACGTTTGTGTTTTCATTGAGATGTCAATGAAATCTTGAGATTTCATATCAATAATATTGCACACAGTTTCTCTGGAAACCTAGATTCATGTTTGTAAAACCTTAGATTATAAACTTAAATAACTTGCTTCCATTTTAACTAACTACAATTAATATCAGAGCCAAGATAAACTTTTTCTCCAGTAAAGAAATATGACTTTAAATCACAGTTTATTTATTATGGATTGCTTTTCAAAATCATAGGGTAAACTAAAATAATTTTAGGTTCATAAATATAAATTATCTATATTGTTGTTAACGGCAATTCCAATCTCTATTTTATAGGCAGTTCAGAAGAAAAAAGGATTGTTATATATAAATTAGCAATTCAATTTCCAGCTTTTACTCAAATATGTGATTAAATAAAATTGTAGGTTAATTAAACATAATTATTTTTCTTCCTCAGAATTATTTTCCTTTCTCAGGAAATCTGAGGAAGGAATTTTTAAATTATGTTTACTATATATTTTACTGAGATATATTTGATCATATTTATTTTATTTATTATTAAATTTATAAGGATATCCAATTCCATGAAGGCTCTGGTGGTAATAAAATCATTAATCAAAAAAGGTAAAAATAAAAAATGACAGTCATGCAAAAGAAGAAAGACCTTTCATTCTAAAAATAATATAACACAGAGTACCCATTATCTAGTCTAACCCAAAGTCTTGAGAAAAGACCCAGGTTTTTATAAACATGAGAAGGCACAACGGACCTCGGAGGGAATCTTGGTCCAGTGGGTGGACACTATGACAGAGAAACATATTTCTCAGGTTTCATCAGCCTGGCACATGCCATCTTTGATCATACCTATGGACAGAAACTATAGAAGATAGAAGGTCTCTTAGAGAACCAGGCCCTATTTATAGCTAATCAAAAGAACCTTCAATTGCATCTGGAAACCTACTGGTAACTATTGTGTGAAGCAAAGGTGTTACATGGGCATGACATGGCATATCTATAATTCTGGGTATTGCATTCTGGACCAGGTTAAGCTTTGGCACATGCACAAAGTGAACCGGTAGTGATAGGAACCCACCTGGTCTTCATGTAAGGTGCTCCTAGCACAATGATTAACTGTGAGATAAAGAAAATTCTTCTGAAGGGGAACTGTATCTCCATTCAGAACTAAAGATAGAATATTCCCAGTCCTGGTGATTCCAAAAACTTGCAGCTCCTCTTAATTTCTCCAAATACTTTTAATACAAGCATTATATTGGACCCCCATTAATATTATAATGATTTATGTGTGGTACACAGGTCCATTCTCCTTCATACACATTGTTTTTTCCCTACCAGAGGCTGAACTTGTTTCTGCTTCTTGTTGTTTTAATTTATTTTATATACTTTATATTGATGTAAAATATAGCAAAAAGCCTGTTACAACAAAATCTTACAACTTCCTTGTAAAATATTTATAGAAAGATTTCTAGAAATAGAAGGGGATGCAGCTATGAAGCAAAAACAATAAAGCAAATTATCAGATGCTCAACACAATAAATCATCAATTCAACCACACACATGCATTATGCTAGGATTGCTCATACTTGTTGCAGAAGAAGGAGTGCTGCAACTCAACAACCAGTCTGCAGTGTTTAAAACAGTCATGTTGTCTCCTAAGAATTGAAATGGTACACAGTGTTTCATTATCTGAATACCTCCTTAATGTAAATTAATATTTTTCAGGATAAAAAAAAAATCACACACATCGTGGTATTTGCTCACATACAGCTTTGATCTCTGTGTTGCTTTCAGGCAAACAGACAGACCTATACAAGTTAAAATAATCACTTATTTTCAGTAGTATGTTTTTAGATACCATGAAAAATGGCCCGAGTCATTAGCATGTTTTCAGGAGTCACAATTCTCAAAAAAACAAAACAAAACAAAAAAAAACCCTCTTTGACTCATATTGTTGGAAGTGGATACATAAAATAAACAAATACGCTCATGTAAAATTCAATATATCCAGTATAAGTAATCTTTGAGTTATGACAGCAACTAGGACTGGAATTTTCATTGCTAAGCAATACAGTCCTCAGGCAAAACTTCAGGTGAAGTTAAGATAAGGGATTGATTCCTCAGCTTCCTCTTGATCTTCCCTCATCCAGCTATCAAACCCCCATTTCTGTCTTTTTGGCTGCTCTGCACAGCAGCACTCCTAGGTGGCAGTTCCAGGGCTGAAGTAAAGGTCCAGAGCCTTCAGAAATCTCAGCACCCACCACCATGGCTGGGCCTCTACTTCATAACTTCTAAAGTCTTCCCAAACATTGCTGAGAATGGGACACATTATTTGGAGAACAGCAGGAACAGCTTCAGGAAGAAGGACTGGCCTAGCCAGCAGTTGCCGCATATAAAGGCCAAGTGCATCTTGTCAACAGGAGGAGGAAGATAACTAAGAGGAAGCTGGGAATAGGACTTGAATGAATATGTAAAATAAATTTTACCTATTTGAAGTGAAGTAGGAAATTTGGAAAACCTTAATGGGATTATAATACAAAAATATGAAAACAGGCCCAATGTATAATACAAACAACATGAAAGGTATTAGTGTCATATTGGAAATGAAAGGGAAGAAAAGCTTAGATCTGCAATAGCTGCTAGGGTATTCAGAAGTCGTAGAATATATTTTTAAATTATACAATAAGGAATGATACAGTAAACAAACAAACAAAATGTATTTATGTAGTCTTACTACCTCATGTTTAATGGATTTTTAAAAAAAAAATTATACTTATATAATTTTTTCATCTTTTTTAAGAATCTGATTATTGTCCCTCACAGCATTTTATAGATTTAAACTGAAAGAGGTAGATTTTCACTCACCGCCTGTTCCATTTGTTGTAACAGATGTGTTGCTAAGATTAGATTTCTCTAGTTTAGAACTACCTGGTGCTTCACTGCTTCCCACAAGATTATGAGGACTCGCTAGATCCTGCATTTCCATAGATCTATTAAAGGACAAAAGAAAAAGGAAGACTATCACTATTATTTGCTTCATAAAAGTGCACAGGCCCCATCTAGCCATACTTTAAAGTGAAAATTGAAAATGAACATTTCCTGAAAACTTTACATATGAAAGAAAGCACTAGTCTTCAATTAGCCTCATGATTATCATTATCATTATCAGCATTATCCTTGAGAGAGAAACTGGTAGAAAAGGAAAAGATGAGAAGATTAGAAACATTTCACTTGAATCATGTTCTTCTATGGGTGGGTGGGTGGGTGGAATAAAGAGTGGGGGGGGGAGGCATCTGAAAGTTTTGTCCAAGAAACTTCAAATGCCTTTTGGATATCAGACTGCAATTACGCATACTATGATTTAACTGAAGTTCATCTTTAATTAAAAGTGGAAATTACAGATAGTAATGGTCACTGCTGATTTCACTCAGAATATAAATGTGGTTTGTGTGTGTAGTAATATAGGTATTTTGAATTATTCCAGGAGAGTTGAACAAAGAACTACATTAAAAAAAGAATAATATCAATAGGAAATATTCCTCTCCTAAAAAAACAGGCAAAATATAGGGATATAATTTTAATACAGTATTTTTGCACAAATAATAATTGACATTTAATATCCAAATAACGTAAGGACTTTCATACAACTTCACCAGTCTCAAATCACCATGTATTTGTGGAACAGTAACTGAGATATGGAACTTAGGTAGGAACAGTGAAATATTGACGTGAAAGACCATTGGCTTACCTGAATGGTCATTCTCGAGGCGCTGCGGAGTGTCCAAGCTCGGGTTTAACTTCAGCTTGCTGCCCAAGGACTGAGTTTGATNGTCATGTAGGGCGACTGAGTTTTTTAAAACTGAGCCTCTGGAGCAACCAGGAGGCAGAGCTACAACACAAAAAAATCAAACTCAGTCCTTGGGCAGCAAGCTGAAGTTAAACCCAAGCTTGGACACTCCAAGCAGCACCTAGGAGAATAGCAAAATGCAACAGTATTATGAAAGCAAGTCTCTAATGGCATGCTAATTGGAGAAAATGACAATTTACTAAAAGTTACTATCCAAAGTATTTGCTGAGGGTAGAAAATCATGTGGTGGAAATTAAACACCAAGTACATTCTGGAATAGTGGAAAATTCTTGCAAATGAAAACTTCCTACAGTTTGTCATTATAGCTGTACTGTATGTATTGATAAAAATAAAAGATCCAAATACATAAATTTGTATAATGGGAAAGACAGTAACTTTTTAAAAGAAATCATGCATCTTGGAAATATGTGGCTGATTCAGACAACAAAACTAAGCTTATGGTTTCATTGCATAGCAAAGTGTACATTACATTTGTAACAAAAAACATACTCTGAATGTTTGTCTCAGAAGGAAACAGAATTCTTATCCCATCTCATATTTATACATTTTCTATGACTTCACTTAAAAAAATAATTTTCTCAAAGCCTTTCTTTATGATGTAAGAAAGCTACAGTGGGCTTTTACAATAACATTTATATTTATGTATAGTATATTTATAATACTAGTCCACCTGTTCCTCCATTCTCAGATTTCATTCCTGGCATTCTCAAGTACAACTGTAAAAATATACCTTTCTAAAAAGTAGACATTTGCTGCCAATCAATATAATTAGCAATGATTAGACTAATGATTTGATTATTTATAAGGAAACTATGTTCTATGTTTTTAAGAAAAGGGTAAGAGATGGCAAGTGATATAGCTCCAATGAGAGGAAAAATAGTGATTACAGATCTGATCCATTTTAAGAAAGCCTCAGACTTCCATCAAATCCAACATTTATTTAGTAATTCATGTTAATATTTCATAACTATTATTATTCACACTTCTATGTCTTGAATAATATATTTGTATCCTGCCTTTATTATTTTTGCAAGTAACTCAAGAGAGTGAACACCTCCACCTTCTTCCTCTATTTTTCCACAACAACTATCTTATGAGGCAGGTTGAGCTGATAATGAATTAGCCCAGAGTCTCCCAACTGGCTTTTATGGCTAAGATATTAATTTGATACAGATTGAAATATAGAAAAATATTTGGTACAAGCAAGATAGGAAATTATTTCCAAGCATGCAATTTTAAAAATGATTTAGTTGTGTTTGTATGTGTGCAGAAAGCAAGAAACCTCAGACAGATAGTCCCATTAAAAAGGTGGCATGATACTTTAACGAACACTGAAAATGTTTCAAGGATTCCACCAAAATAATGGGAATTTGAAGGGTGACTTTTTCTCCTAAGTATTTACAGTGTGTGAACTTGGAATTCTTACTCATTTCCATGATATCCTCTTCCTGAATATGATGTTGTATGATAGACCATATCCTCAGATTCATAGCACCAAAATTAATGTAGTGTACAGAGAAGATGTTGATGACTTGTCTCCAGGTGTGCAAGTCACTGATTAAGGTTATCTGACACAATGCATACAATTCCCTTCAATTTTTTTACTTGTTCAAAAGTGCAATCAAACTTGTTTCAAGGTTTAATTATATCTAACAGTACAACACTAGAGGAAACATTGCCTTATTTTGTTTTTCATTTGGAGAGGGTCATTCCGGTTAAATTTTAGGCAAATGTTTGTGCTAAAAGAAAGAACTTCATAGGAAATGATTGATTGCCTAAATATTTAAAACTGCTTTTTAAAATTTAGGTTTATCTTCTGCCTTTGGTTTTCTTATATTGCTCAATGCTAATTATCTTAATATGAAATTAAGATGAGTATTGATGAAATATTAGTTTATATCCATAGGAGCACTACATAGTTGCATAGTCAGTAAAGTATCTCCATTTGCTTCCAATTCCTTCCCCAATTTCAATTATTTTGTGCAACATGTCACATTATTCCATTTTCAGAAGATAATTAAAATGGTTTATTTCACGATGCTTCATTAAAATTATTAAAAACAATATTAATATGCTAAATTTACCAACAGCAGTACAAAATCACAATAAAATGAAACATTTTGTACAAAACCACAATACAAATAAGGTTTTCTCTTTTAAGTTCTCTTTAACTTGTAAAATAAACCTTGACCCTGAATTACTGAGAGGAAAATCTATAATTTGTGTCAATTAATCAATAGAACACCAAACAATAACTACATAGATAGGAAGTCCTTGACTTACGATGAAAAATTGTGTTCAAAATTTCTGTTGCTAATTGAGACAGTTAAGTGAGTTTTGCCCCATTTTATGATTTTTCTTGCCACAGTTGTTATGTGAATCACTGCAGTTGTTAAGTTGTTAACATGGTTGTTAAGTGAATCTGGCTTCCCTACTGATTGTCAGAAAAATTGCAAAAGTGGATCACATGATACTGGGACACTGCAAGCATCATTAATATGAATCAGCTGCCAAGCATCTGAATTTTGATCACGTGACCATGGGGATGCTGCAATAGTCATAAGTGTGAAAAATGGTCATAAGTCACTTTTTTCAGTGCCATTGTAACTTCAAATGGTCACTAAATGAACTGTAGTAAGTCGAGTACCAATGGTTTATTTCCATCAGTCTCTTGTGAATGTTACAACTTCAGCTCTGTTAAATCAATCTAACAAAACTCTAAGTGTAGAGGCAAAAGAAATCGCAGTTCCAACATCTCAGGAAAAAATACGTCAGAATTCATACTTTTTGGCTCACTGCCTTTGTCAGTATTGTAAATGTGAATACAGTCAGCTAACACCCCCCCCCTCTCCATCTATCCAGATTCCATTATTGATGTGTGCACTTTCTAATATACCTCTTCCAACTTATAACAATTGTGACCTGCAACAACCTCATTATTCTAGTTCTGGGCCTCCTTTGAGCAGGCAGACATGAAACCTCCAAGGATTGGACTATGACCACCATACTCACTTTCACTTCTAACCAAATCCAGATTTCGCCTTTGAAAACCTAAGGTAGAGAACTGATTATGGAAAGGCAAATCCATTGCTTATGAAAATGCTGGGTAAAGTTACTGTTCTTTGGGAATTGACCTTATATTTAGTCACTTTCAATACTTTTCCGCAAAAATACAGCACGGAGAATACTGAAATACATTAATTATATTGTAAAATCTGATTATAGTAAGAAAAATGTTAGGTGCATAATATATAGAAGTCTGTTGGCTGTTATATGAAATATCTCAAGAGAGAATGTATGAAACTCATAAAGAATCTTATCTATTGAAGAAGGAATGTGGGGTCAAGAATTAATGAAACGGGGGTGGGTGGGAAATAATCCTTTGGGATACTCGCTTTGTGCAAACATCCCATCTGTGGTTCAACCACATAAAAGGCTAGTGGGCAAATCCAAACACATTAAGAGAAGTGCTTGAGAAATCTGCCAAGAAGCCAGATGCATTGATTGCAGAATTTCTTCTTAAGCTGTCATCTGAATCTCCTAACTGCCATCCAAAATATGGGCAATATGAAAAATTGTGACCTATAAGGCGAGATGCAATGAGTACTACTTAAGTCTAAATGACCATCTGCATCCAGGAATGGATTCTTTAAAAGGATAATGTGAAAGGTAGTGAAGCTATGTAGGCTGATGATAGCATTATTTATAAATCATCCCTTATATTATTAAATTACTATTAGAACAGGATTTCCTGTGCCCCTATTTAAGCAGAGTCCATGCTGCTTTTATGTTTTCTTTTTTAAAACTCCCTCAACACTTACTTTTCTTTACCACTGTTTCAGGAGTGAGTTCCAGCAGTCACTACTGCCGGTTCACTCGTGGGTGCTTCGTGTGCACTTGATGCATGCACAGAAGCAAAAAACAAGATGACGGCACTATAGGCGCCACCCAGAAAACTGGTTCAGGGGTGTGGCAGGCCTGGGTCGCTGCCGGTTGAAGCGACGCAGGCTGCCAAACCACTACCAGTTCGGCTGAACCAGTCCAAACTGGTAGGAACCCACCACTGCACTGTTTACATACTGCATCATAATTTTTTTGAAATAAAATTATCTACCTGAAAAA